CGCGAGCCCGACACGGCGATGGGCTTGCCGTCGAGCACCTTGAGGCATCGCACCGTCGAGGTGTGGCCGCGCAGCACGTGCTTGCACTCGCCCGTGCGCAGATCCCAGACACGCACGTCGCGGTCGCAGCCACCGCTCACGACAATCGCGTCTTGGTTGCCGTAGCCGAGCACACTGCCGCATGGGTTGCCCATGCCCAGCGCGTTGCCGGCGAGCTGCGCGGTGCTGGTCGAGGTGGAATGCACGCTGCCCGCTGCCTTTGTCGACTCGCCAGCGGGACCTGCGGGATCAGGGCCGGAGGCAGACTCGCCGTTGCGACGGATCTCCTCGGCCAGCTCGGCGGGGATGTTGCCGGTGCCGTCGGCCATGACTGCGTCTCGGATAGCGCCGGCTTCAGCCTCTGCTACAGCCTTGGCGTTTTCGCGCTCGACTCGAGCCCGAGCGGAGGAGCGCAGCTCTCGGTGGACGAAGGAGGGACCCTCGGAGCGGATGGAGATATCGGCGTCGGAATCGCCTGCACCCGATGCGTAGCCGTCCAGTTGCAGGTTGTGCTGGGCGGATGCTGCTGCAGGAGAGTCGCCGGCGCCACCTGCTGCTGTTAAGGCCGCGGCTCGCCTTGCGCTCTGCTGGCGTCGCAGAGCTCGGCGGGCCTTGTGGAACCATTCGAGCGTCTCGCCATGGCCATAGGTCTGGCGAGCTTTGCCCGAGGCTGGCGTGCTTGCTGTCGAGGATGGCGGTCTACGACTGCCAGAGACGTCTGGTTCGTCGGGCAGCTCGATGGATGAGGCGGGCGGCGAGAGCAGCGCGTCGGCGGCATCGGGGCGCGGGTCGTGATGCACGAGGCGAAGATCGCCGTCGGCAGCCGCCTGGTAGGGCTTGCCGCCACTGCCATCCTCGGGATCGGTGATGACCATTTTGCCCTTGCCGAGGTCGGACGAGAGGCTGGCGTCGGCGGCGCGCTTGGAGCCCTTGCCCGTGCGGCTGATGAGAGTGAGGCACCACACGCCGGCGTCGTGACCAAGCAGGGTGTGCGCGTAGAGCCCCGTTTCAGCGCTGAAGACGTGAATCTTGGAGTTGGCCATGCCGACGACGATCCACTCGCTGTCGATGGCGAGGCTGGTGACGACGTGACCTGCGTCGGCCGAGACATGTTGGGTCTGGAGTCGACCACCCTTGCGCCAGTTGGATTCTGTGAGGTAGGCCATCTTGAAGTGGGTGCGGTAGCTGAAGGGCACCTTTGCAGAGCGATGGCGATGTGCATGAACGGCACTGGTAGATGCGAGCGACAACCGTGAGGGGCCCGCGACGGCAGAGCGTTCGCGCACGGGGGAGCGAGAGGACGTTGAGGCCGAGGTGCCAAGGCCGAGACCGGTGGTCTCCTCCTCGGCGGGTTCTGAGCCTCTGCGAGAGGACCTTGCGTCCGAGACGCCTCTTAGGCTGCGAGGGCGTTGAGTGGATGGGCTGGAAGCGGCGTCGGTGGATGCAATGGCGCCCGGACGAAGGAGGTTGGATCGGCGAGCGTCGCGTGGGCCCGGCACGAGTGAGCTGGCGGCCGGTCCGGGTCTGGGAGACGAGGCCGAGGCGGAGAAGCGACCGGTGGGCGAGTCGTGGTGGGGCAGCGAGGCGAGGAGGGGCGCGTTGGGCGGCTGACCGATGTTGGCAGCAGCAATAGCGTCGTCATGCGCAGATTGGGCTTGATCGAGCTGGTCATCCATATCCATGGCCTCGTCCGAGTCGTTGTCAGCCGGACCGCTTTGAGTGAGGCTGTTGGAAGTGGGCGCGTCGGCGTCGCGGGTCTGGTTCGGGGTGGTGAAGAGGGAAGGGCTGGGCTGCTGCCATCCCTGGAGACGGTCGAGTTGTCCGGATGCGGTGCGGATGGAGCTGCTGACGGCGTGCGAGG